TTTTTAATTACTGACAAGAAGATAACAAGACGCCAACGAATACTTTTATTTTCAACAAGTGAACAACTTAAAATGCTTTTCGCGGCTGAAACAATATTCATGGATGGCACGTTTTCAACATGTCCAAGCATGTTTGATCAAGTTTATACAATTCATGCGATAAAATATGATCAGTGTGAGTAGATAGAAAAGACCTTGACTATATAAGTGTGTCTAATTTTTTTAGCCTTTCCTTGTGTTTTTGGCTTATTACCAAATCGACAGAAAAGTACATGTCACTTTATGTTTCGTGAGTTGAAAGCACTAGCTGTACAAATGGAAATGAACTTTTCACCAAAATTAATCATGAGTGATTTTGAACCAGGTCTATTAGCTGTAGTTGCACTCAAAGTAAATATTTTGTATTTGTTGAAAATACATTTCAGATTTTTCTTTTCTTTTATAGTTTATTACAGCAACACATTTATCTTGTTATTTTCATTTTACTTAAGCTATTTATCGAGCAATATAACGAGTTGGCTTATCAACAGCATATAATAATGATGATGATATTAAAAAATATTATCGAAAATTAATGGCGCTTCCTTTAATACCAGAAGCGATTATCGAAGATACTTATGATGAATTAATCGCTACAATGCCATCAACATTAAAGGACACATTAAAGGATTTATTACAATATTTTCAGGAACAATGGCTTAACAAAGTTCCTATTTCTCAATGGTGTGTACATGGTCTCAACATCAGAACCAACAATAATGCTGAAGATGATCTTTTTCTTGTATTTAACTCAGAAATTTATCTTCTTATGCTTCATTTAGCATTTCATAGTCGCTTCAATCGTCGAGTACAAATTAACCATCCAAATATGTGGTCATTTATTAAGCTTCTTCAAGGAGAAGAAAACCGTTTTCATCATATGTATGTTCAATTCATGGCAGTCTTAGGGACACGATCGAAACAAGCTAAAACAGTTGCTATTCAACGTCGTATGGATAAACTTGGAGAAAGATATTATGATGGAGCAATAAATGCTATGGAATATTTAGATGGTTTATCATTTGTAGTTGCTAAACGGAAAAAATAACATTTTAATTTTTAATTTTTTTAATATTTTTCTCACTGTTAAGATTTCAACTTAATTTTATGCAATAAAACATGCACTATATTATTTACAATTCTCTAAAATATTAACCCGACAATGTTTCATGTCAATATTATTTTTTCGACATTTTTCCTTTCGATATTTTTCCTCTTCCTTCTTTCGACATTTTTCCTTTCGACATTATGACGGCCAACCTATTCGTAGGTCTTGAAATATTTTTTCGCTAACGATGAGTCTATCTGTTATTATTCTATTGTATGGAACTGTTCGAGCGTAATGTCGAAATTTTTTCTGTGAAAAAGGGTAATTTTATAGTCGATTCGAATTTCATAATACAGTGAGATGAAGCTGTATTTTCTCTTTCAAGAGTAATGCGATTGATTTGATTTTTCTCTCGATTCTATATCTCCAAGATTCTATCTACATCGTCAAGAACGATCTTCGAACCGAATAAAACTAGCAAATCCCTAGATTATCAATGAGACAACCAATGATAAGAGTTCATCACAATGGTTGTGGATATGTGAGCAAAGAGAAGACAAATATCACACCCTCACCCACACGAATAGTAACAGGAAAAAGCCAAGTCATTCTCGCTTCACTTTCAACATATTACGCAATTATCGTATTTCAAGTGTAAACCTATATGTAGTCATGAGCATTTGGGTTTTTCTGCTACAGACAACGATTGAAATTGAGTAATCCTTCATTACATGTGCTTAAATCAAACCAATATCTACACTTTGTATTGCAAGTCAATGCTACTTGTGCAGGTTAAAACATCGATCGGAGCACGTGTACCTTTAAAAAATGATGCAACATCGATCGTTCTATAGCCGGAAAAAAATCGATGACTACGTGTTTCAAATCTACAATAAGGTAATTGCGTAATATGTCGCATATAAAGAAAAATGACGACTCTTATTTTTCATAATTTTTTCTACTTCATTGTATAAACATATCTACGTAGTAAGTTTTCCAATTCATTGCATTTACTAATACTCGCTAGGTAGACTCATTGAGTGCTCACTTGCCTAATACTGAAATAAAAATACTAGAAAACATTCACAAGTAGCGTGAAAATTTGCGTAAACTTTTTGATTTTTATCTTTTCATCTCTTATGCCTTGGAGACACGTCCATTAGCATACTATCACTTATATGGGAAAGTGAGTTAAACTCGATTTGAGGATATTTTGGATTCCTTATTATTCCTCAACAGTTTCAAAAATGTATAATTCTTTGGAATTTCTTTGAGTTTCGAGAAATAAAGGAAGATTACTCAAAATGTTTGAAGACTACCATACATTTTCAGCACTATCGTGTGACTTGCTGGATGTATTTTTGACGTTCTCTACATATCACACCATCGTCTGCGTTTACCATCGGCACATTCTCGTTATTATCTCTAATCTGCCGTTTATCAATGTGTCACTATGTCACTTTGTATATATTTATCGTTATACATGAAAAAGCAGATTCAGAGATCAACGGCTTCTCGTACACCTACCATGAAAAGTAGAAAGCCAATATTCTTTCCCAGAATATTTGAAGTTCCTTCGATTTTCGGGTACCTATCAAATTTAGTGAGCATCTACAGTAATTATTGGATATTGCTGAGCCAACTTTATAAACCATAATTCATGATCTATTAATCAATTGTTCCACGCACGACGACAACTAGCAGTATGCAATGTTATGAATCATATACATTCATCCATTATATAGATCGATTCGACCAAAGATTGAAATTTTTTGACTTTTTCATAATTAATATGTTTCTCTTTTAGATCAATCTATGAATAAAGAGAGTTCTAGCGCAATTACGATGATCGAGCAAAGTGATTCTGAAGATGTTTCATCTTTAAAAAGTCTTTCTAGAACTCAACTTGCACATATAGCAGACGATACTTTGAACAAGCTCAAAGCTGGCTGGTACCGTTCATCTCAAGGTCCTCGGATTAATCTTGCCGAAGATGTCATATTTTCTGTGGAGAACAGTGTTCTTTACACAGAAAATGATCTAGAAAACACAAAGAAATTAATCTTAACTACTAATGAAACAAGTTCAACATCATTCGCAATGGCTACATCTTCATGTCCAAAAATAGAAGTTCGTCATTGTACAACTTTACAAGCAGCTCAATCTTTAGTTGCTGAGATAGGTGAAGATCGTGTTGGAGTATTAAATTTTGCATCTGCTAAAAATCCAGGAGGAGGTTTTCTAAGAGGTAGCAATGCACAAGAAGAATCACTTGCAAGATCTTCATCACTTTATTCCACACTTACTCAAACTAGATTTTTTACGGAATATTATGGTTACAACAGACGTGGTAAAAGCGGTGTCTACAGTCATCGGATCATCTATTCACCAAGAGTAACTATTTTCAAAGTATGAGAAATTAAATATGTGAGACTAGTTTGTTTTACTTCTTTTTTCTTTTTTTCACAGGATGATAATGGAAATTTATTATTTTCTCCGTATCATGTTGGTATAGTAACAGTTCCTGCTCCTAATGCTAGTGTTGTTCGTCAAGCAGAACTAGTTAAAAGTACTATGATGGAACGTATTAGACATTTATTGAATGTTTTCGAAGCCAACAAACACGATAGTCTTGTATTAGGAGCATTTGGTTGTGGTGTTTTCAAAAATGATCCATTCGATGTGGCTACTATGTTTCGACAATATTTAGAATTGGATGAGTTCAGAAACTCTTTTAAACGAATCATATTTGCAGTTTTCAATGTTGACATGTGTCAAATATTTAAGCAAGTATTCACTGATTCCGATGTAAGTCATATACAACAAGAAGGCATGGAAGTATTTTTGGATGATGGTGATAATAATAATAAACAATGTACATGCAGCAACCGACAGCAGCAGTGCAAGAAAAGAGCAAAACAAAGAAGAAAACGATACAATGATCTTGAACAAGTCTATGACAAAAAACATAACGATTATCATAATCATGAAGGGTGTGGGTGTGGGTTTCAATGTTCTCCTTAATCAGATCCAAACCTAGGCCCAAGTTTGAGTGTATGTTAGAATAAAGATGAAACAGATATAAACAAATTTACATCCACACACACAGAGCTTCTGCTTAGGACTGAGTGAGTCTGGATCANTTGCATTTAACTCTGTCTCTGTTTAGCATTCCCCTGTGTTTTCGGCTTATTACCAAATCGGTTGAAAAGTACCTATCATTTCATGTTCAATGAGTTGAAATCTATAGCTATACAAATGCAAATGAACTTCACACCAAAATCAATTATGAGCGATTTTGAACCAGGTCTATTAGCTGTAGTTACAACTGATGTGAGAGTTTTATATTTCTCGTGAATAGCTTTCAAATTTTTCTTTCTTACAGTTTGTTACAGCAACACATACATCTTGTTATTTTCATTTCACACAAGCCATTTATCGAGCGATACAACGAGTCGGTTTATCAACAAGTTATAATAATAATGATGATGTTAAACAATATTGTCGAAAGTTGATGGCTCTTTCCCTATTGCCAGAAGCTATTATTGAAAATACATATGATGAATTAATTGCAGCAATGTCAATAAACTTGAAAAACGTACTGAATGATTTAATGGAATATTTTCAAGAGCAATGGTTTGTGAAAGTTTCGATTTCTCAATGGTGTGTTCATGGTATGAATATGAGAACCAATAATAATGCCGAGGGTAAAATTCTCTTCTATTTAACTCGCAATTTAATTTTATTATGTTTTATTTAGCATTTCATAGTCGTTTTAATCGTCGAGTACAAGTTAATCATCCAAATATTTGGTCGTTTATAAAATTTCTACAAGGAGAAGAGAATCGTTTTCATCATATGCGTATTCAATTTAGTGCAGGCTTAGGACCAAGACCAAAGCAAGCAAAAACAATTGCTATTCAACGTCGTATAGATAATCTTGGTGAACGATATTATGACTGTGCTATAAATGCTATGGAATACTTAGATGGATTATCATTTATAGTTGCTAAACGAAAAAAATGACACATTATCAAGTTTTTCTCTTGTTACTTATATTTTCTCTCTTCTAGAATATTAGCATTCCAACATATAGTAAAACATGTCCTTCGCTAATCAGAATTCTCTAAAACATTTATCGGACATTTTTCATCTTAATATTCTTTTTTTCGACATTTGTCCTTTCGACATTTTTCCTTTCGACATTTGGACGGCCAACCGTAGTAAGCATTTACACATTTTAAAATAGATCATGAACGACTGATTATTGAATAAATGAGAAGACACTGAGCCATACATTTCGAGATTTTCTAACAAGTTTACTTTATTTTTTTCTATTCAGCTATTTGAAAATTCAAGAAGTTCACGAAAATTGAAAAGATGAAATTTTTATTATCCGACGTTTTTTAAACTGAAATCATAATTCAAGAAAGTTGTTCAATTTTCGTATGTTTCTTTGTTTTTAATCAAACTTTATATACTTTTTTCTACCATATCTCAAGCAATTCTTTCGGAGAGCTAAGCAAATATTTTCTTTCTTCTTTTTTTATTTTTTAAACCATGATTTTCTTCAAGCAAGGTACGCAATGAGAGTGAATGTTATTGCAGAGGCCCAAATAGAATAGAACAGCCCGTAGAACACCATGAACGACTCGAAAACATTGAAGAACGGCTTTTGTTACGGTGGTCGATTACGTCCCAACGGAAAACGCCACTATTCGGACCGCCAGTTTTACTCCTTTTTCAACTCGTTTTACATGGAGTCGAAAGTATACCTTATAGACATCATTAGACATGTTCTAGTGACGGCTCTATAATAAATCTTCTAATGATCTTATCTGCCATTTCCAGTCGGATTAATTTCTGGTGCTTCATGAAAACGTCTTGCTGAGATGGAACTGCTCTTTACTCTTTTTTCACTTGTTAATATGAGGTTCGAGTTAACTTTTTTGAGCTAGTGTTAGCATAGATGGATAGATTTTGCTGGCATTTATTCGTTGATATGACGTTCACTCTACAAAAATGACTCTGTCTGACACCACAATGATTAGCATTATCTTTACATTGAGTTATAAAGTACATCTACACAACTTTGCATATCCCGCACTCATCATCTTTTTCATAAGTAAGTTTTATAGATGATAGAATCTATTCTATTATGCTTTCGAAGCCCAGTACAAAGTTTATCCTGGTGTCTATGATATGGCTCACGGCATATCGAATTAACAGTTCGTAAATGCTTAAAACTGTAAAAAACGATTGTAGTAAGTCACTTGTTAAAGAGTACATCTTTAAAATTATAGTTTTTTTATTAGTGAACTACTTTGTCTAAAAGAATGTTTAGTGTTATTTTCACGCAGAGAAGGCCCGGTTCTTGCGTTTATGAGCAGTTATTTTTCATACATCTACTTTGGATGTAATCTGTGACGATAAATCCGTATTCAAGAATATTATTCATGCGATGAAATGCTTCGCATAATAATGAAAAATATAAACAGGATGTTGCCTATGGTATGCTACGAGTAATGAAACTAACTTCTCAGCCGTATGCAGAAAAAATAGTGTGAATACGATCCTAATACTGTGCACTGGTTTTCGATCGAAGCGATCCTGAACGGCGAAATTTACGCTCCAGTGAAAAAGGATTCGTACTGCAAGCTAAGAGAATACGTGTCTAAATTGGCGAAAAAGGGAGACTGTTTTTTATCATTTAGAGCAGTAATCACTAGAGCCCTGCATGAAGTCGATTTCGGAGGCGTTGTCGGAGTCAACTAAACTTTTTGCTAAAAAATTCGCTTTCGTATGGGAACGTTTTTGCATTGTAGGTTTTGTTCTTTGATACTTACTGTAAAAACTGATGCATTTTGGGGGTTCCAACGACGTCTTATCGAAGTCTACGGACATGAAAGAAAGGCAGAGTCGAACAGAATCGGAGTTGAATTTGACTCCGACTTTCTTTCGCATGTGTAGACCTTGATAGGATGCGGTTGGAACCTTCAAAATACACCAGTTTGTACGGCAAATTTCAGAGAACAAAGGCTGCAATTCAAAAAGGATTCTATGCTAAAACGAAATGTTTGGCAAAAATTTAGGTGACTCCGACGACGGTTCCGAAATCGACTCCGTACAGGACTCTGGTAATCACACCGTTTCTCGACCGTTTTACGCGGTTTATGATATGACTTCAAAAAGTAGGAATAATCGACCTGGAAAGTTCGGTATTTACTTGCGCCTAATAACTAGGATCAATACTATAGTGAAATAAATGTAATGGGAAACTGCATTTGTCAGAAAGAATCAGGATAGGACTTGAATAGGATCTCAGATATCTCACCCGTATTAATCACGAAAAATAATCAATATAAATTCAAATGATTATGTTTGCTACGCTGTGTCTCTTGGGACAATAGACTTGAAGCTATGATTAGTTTTATAGACTGAAGTGAGATAGGTATGTAGGAAATGCGTCAAAGAGAGTAAAAGCAATCAAGATATGATGGTCTATTTTACATTTACCATGTACTGCGTACGCCATTATTTACCTTAATTCGATTAAAACAGCTACAACTTAGTAACGTTTCATAATTTTTGTTGCTTCTACAACGACTAATTTTCGTCGATGTTTTATCATAAATTCATGTAATTGAAAAACAGTGAACTCCAAGAGTTCATTGTCGAAAGCATAGTTATTGCTCAGGATGCTGACTATACTAACATTCTTTTAAAACATAAAAAACATTCTCCTCTTCGTATACCTCACTTTTCCTATATCATAACATTTATTTCCCTTAGAGTCATAGACATCTCAGAAATCAGCAGTCTAGTTCATATTTTATCATACTGATGAAATCCATAATCAACAGATCCTATACAGCTATAAAATTTCTCCGATATATTATCTAAAAGTGCAGATCTATCCACTTAAAACAAAAAGAACATTTTTATGATCTTTGTTTTTTTTTGTCATATTCTTACCTGAGTGCAGTGTTCGATTGGAGTAAAGAGCACAAAAAAATGCTTCTCGACAACTAATATTTGAGATATAATTGAATGAAGTAAGGATGGCACGAGATAATGCTATATCTCGATTGTTCGAACAAACAGATATGAAATTAGGAACTCCAAAGAACATTAAATATTGACCATGGCCGCATTGAAAAGACAAAGGATATCGACCAGTATGTTCCTGACATCGAAATGTCTGAATATTCATACAATACACATTCACCAACAGAGAATAATCCGTAACATGATCTTGTTCATCACTCCCCTCCAGACAATCAATACTAAGTCTACTGTCTTTGTAAAAATTCAATGGAATACATTGGCCACCATAATGACATCGATATTCATTATCACTACATTTAGTCATTTCTAGTTGATCACACCATTGTTCATCTTCTCCACTTATACAATCCATTTTTCCATCACAAATTTCACGCCAATCTAAACATTGAGGCCACGAATCTCGATGACAACTCTCCAAAAATCGATAGCATGTACCAACAGTGACCTTAGCAATAATGTTTGAGTAAAGGCTAAAAGTAGCTTGAACAATATCGCCGAACGATAATGATAGATCATGCTGAAATTTATATTGGCACATCGAACCAAACCATGGTGGTACACATTTATGAAAAATATCTGCACTATCGTTATTCATCTCATATTTCTCTGCAACATCGATAGGTGCAAACCATTCAAGTAATTGTTCACTAGTGATACCTTGTTTCTTTAATTCATCAAAAGTTATTGTTTGTGCTATATTATCATTGTCAAGATAGGAAACTGGTTCTAGTTCGTCATTATCATCAGGACGTCTACAATAAGGAATTAAATGATAATTACGAATATAGCGTCCACCACTTTCTTTTCCACCTTCAATAAAATAAGCATATAAACAATCGAATATGAGATAAGAGGTTTGACGAATATTTGAATGATATAATGAATAATGACTATTGGTTAAAATACAGGAGATGAGAAATAACAGTATACGCATGGCCATCATTATTTCATAGGTTTGTATCAATGACAATTTTTATCTAAAGCGTGATAAAATACTAATTGTTCTTTTTTTCGCTGTTCCTGTTCATTTCCTTTGAACAGAGAACAGATGTGTTTCCTTTTGAAAGAAAAAAGTAACAAAAATCGTGAAATAAATAACAAATTGACGTTGTTCCGTTAGGAAATAACTTAGATAGACAAGATTACTAAGATAAAATAAAATTGAGACATTTGTGAAAAAGCATTTGCTGTCAAAATAATACGCATTTCAAAAAAGCCGGAGAGTTGTCTTATATTTTTCAATCCTTTGGTTTATTCCTTTCAACGTCTGTAAACAACTACGCATATATATATACAGAGAGGGAGAGAACTGCATCATTTGAAAGGAAAAAGAGAAAATAAAAGCTGTTAGTGCAATCCCTGCGAGATAAAACTGCGAAGCACGATATAGCTACTATTACTAGCCACAAAGCTGTTTTTTTAGTTTTTGTATTTTGAAACTCATTTGTTCAGCCTTCTTTTACTTAATCATCCAGAAATTCAATAAGAAGGTAGTGAATACATTGTCACAAGCCGTTATTGATATGCGGTATGTGATCGCATATCAACAATGTCTGCTGTGGTCTGTGATATCCTCTGGAAAGCGCCTGTCATGGTCTATCAGGTGGAAGCGGGGGGGGGGGGGGGGGGGGGGGGGGGAGAGAGGTCAATATTATCTACCCATTTTTTTATACCTTGTCTTTGCGGCCTGTTTGGAGACAAAGTTGTTTGTGCGTGGGTTTTATCACATTA